AATAATATGTGATGTATAAACTATAAATTACTATAATAATTTACCTAGGAGGTAACGAAAATATTAATATTTAAAAAAATTKTWAAAAATCAGCCTTTTGACTTAAATAAGTGTTTTTACCATATAGGTACATTTTTCTGAAAATCAAATTTACAAATTGGCTATATTGAATATTTCGAAAAAAAATTTATCAATTTTTAAGTTTTTTATTTTCAATATAAAAAAAATTAAAAATTAAAAATGTATTTTAAAAATGTAGAGCAAGTGTCTATGGATTATATTTAAAAGAAATTAAAAAAAAAAAATTGATTAGACAAAAGTTATTTCATTTGTCAGAGTGTCAGATTTCTTCGGGACACTCTGTATATACTCGTATAGTAATAACTAATAACGATCGTCAAGTGACTAATAATTATAGAGATTTAAAAAAAATACGAAATAATTTTCACGAACTTAATCAAACCAGTCATCGATAGGACTCAAAAATGTCAAAGTCGAAGTATACAATATAATATTATGTGTACGTCTGATCACTTTGTATGACAATTGTTATGTCTGTGTGTAGTCGTGTATAGGCCATAGAGGAGTGACAATGTATTGAATGAACACAATCAGTTCTGTCTGTCGATAATTATTTTACATTCATAAATATAATATATTGGTGGAGCTAGTCGATCGCGTTTCGGATCATTATACTATTGTTATGTGTGTCCTAGAAATATTAATCAAAATTTACATTTGAAATTGTTTATAGAAATAGAGCGACAAGACTTGCAGTGTTTCGTGCAGCGAATAGACAACGAGATTAGAGACCCTAAAAAGACCAACAGGAGCAACAACGCCAACACACAGCCACCACGTTTCAACACGAGTTCGTACGTGATCGAGCAGTTGGACATGATGGGTGAGACACCGCGACCAACGACCAATATTATGCCCTATCGTGTTTTTTTACAATGACTTATATAATTCGTAAATTAATGTAATTATGCTGCGTCCATATATTATGTTTTATGTCTATATTAACTATTATGTTTCTTAACAACAATTCCTATATTATTTTTGTTTTTATCGCCGTGCAAAGTCAGACAATCATAATCATAAGATGTTTATGAAGACTCTATAGAGTTAGTTATAACAAACAAAATATTCCAGATAATGATCTAAAAGGTTTTTCGTTGATGATTTTTCTATAAAGTCCCTATAATGAACGATTTCTACATACTACAGATATAATTTTATAAAATGTGTTGTTTTTAATTTTCAGACGATAATGACATAAAAATTGAAAAATTAGAAAAACAGTACTCGCCTAAACGGAAGAAGGACGCGAAAGCAATAGAAGGGTAGGTGGCGATATATCGTATAGACAGCGTTTGTCTTGGTTGCACCAATTACTATAATTTTTTACTTTTCCAGATTGAACGCCAACCCTTTGCCGATACCATATCATCGACCTGTTGTAGGCCAAGACAGTCTGCTGAGCAACGGAAACATGGTAATGATGCTACCGGGTAGTCCACGCAAAACGGCCAGCAACAAGTATGCTGCGGAAAAAGCTAAGCAACAGCCGTACAAAAACCCTTGCAAAGTAGATGTTACGAGTGAGTAAATCAATGAATATTCACTATAATACTAATACTATCGATGGTTTGGTAATTATTCCGTTTAACAGCGTATTGTGTACCTTCTTGGATGTCATAGTCTTGTCATCATCTAAGTTTCATTAAAATTGTGATAACATATTAACATCATAAATAATAAAATTAATTTTCTTGATCATATTTATATAGCACGCCATTTATGAAGATAAATAATATTTCTTTTTACACATGATAAATTGCATTTTACAAACATAAGTGTCGTTGAATCATTATTATTTTATAACTTAAATTTTAAATAGTCATATGACAATTAATATCTTTAGTAAAAATCCAGTTTTATATTTTATATATTTTTATTTATGACTTATATCTAATATAATTTTGATATTCTGGTGCCCCATCAATAATGCAAACACATATCGTGTATTCGTATATTTCTTACTCAAGCATGATGATCCGAATCGTTAGGCTATTATATCTAATAAAATATTCTATGCTTGATTATTACACATATAATTGTGTAATATAATATAGTGTGTATACATTTAAAATATTTTTTTCAAAATAAACATTGGATAATTGATCAGTTTTTTTATTTGACATTCGTCGATAAACTAGCATTAACTAACAATAATGTACTTATCTGAGTTTGTATTCAGTAAACAAAAATAGCAATCTATGAATAAATATTCCATTTGAATGCAAAAAATAATAATAAATATATTTATGGGGTATTTGAAGTATCAATTATCCCCATCCGTCAAACCGTAAAACGCTTCTAATTATATTGTTGCTAAATACAAAGATGGATTAAACCAAAATACGATGAGAAGGGTACCAGAATAGAAAACTTAAAAGTCGCAACCCAAATACTAAAAGTAAATTTTCATAATTTAATTAAAAAAATAATAAGTCAACGGTTATTTTGAGATAAATAGGTTAAAGTCATGATAATTAATTAGTCGTGTTAAGTCAGTTAAGTTAATAAGTTTAAAGATTTCATTATTTACATATTTTAAATTATATTTTTAATTTTAAGTTAACGGCAAATGATTAATCTGAGTTGAAAAGATTAAGATTTAATTCCCAATTTCAGTTTCAATTTTAATTTGTAAGACTTATCGCAGTCGAATAATATATTATATATTACTTTGCGTAAGTTCCTATTTAATCTATGATCGTGCATGTACCATTATATACGTTCCAGGTTCCAGAAGAACGATGTATAACCATTCGTTATCGGTGTCCAGCGATACCACAGCACCACCGACTACCAGTTCATCTTCAGTTGATACTCATATGACCACTAGCTTGTCCACATCCATTGAGAGCTCGACAGATCAACCGGAATGCTTGACTGTACGTTACCACATCAATACCGCATTATTTATATTAAATATAGACTTCTTTTGACCTCATCTCACCAACGTCAAATAGACGGCCAAACAATATGATAACCTCTCTTCGCTGTAATGTCAATCATTAATTGATTGACCTAAATACAAAACTATTTACTCTTTTAAAAAAAAAAATATATATTAAAAAAGTTTTTAGATAATTTAGTTGAAATTATGTAGGTATAATGCATAAAATAGTTGTATAATTCTTACCATTACAATTATTATTATGTCTCAAAATCAAATATTAAACTTTTTACATCTAAAAAATTATCTCGATTTTTTTAAGAATTTGAATTATTATTGCATTAACTAATTCAATATTTAAAATAATGAAATAAAAAATAAAATTCTGATACAAAACCTGCATATTTTATAATGATTATTGTTTGTTATGTTAGTCACTCACTGCGATATAATGAATCTAAACTTTAGCATAATCTCCTTTCGTTTGGTCTACCCGCATGGCTGCATTAGTGGCTTTTTTAATAGTGAAGCAAGTTTGTTAATTTGGTCATAATTAAATCAGGAAACAGATGTAAAGTTCTAAAGAAACCTTCATAGTAGTATAAGTCATCTAAATTATTTTGTACTATATTTTTTGTAAACAGAAAGTAGAAATTTGTCCTGGTGTAGCTCAAGCAGCTACACAAACTACACCGGAAAATGAAAGAGTCAATTTTGTACCTAATAGTAAAATAAAACAAAAATTGACCCTGAAAAACCGCTCAAATTCGAAGAACGGATCAAAAACTGATGTAGTTTCTTCACCAGAATCCAAAGATCAACGAGAAATAACCATACAAGAACCAAAGTAATTTAATTTAAATATAATTTATATTATCTATGTTTCACTAAATAAGTTTCTGGTTTAATCGTTAAACAAATAGTACTTAAAATTTAACCACTAGTAATATGCAAGCTGATGTTATAAAAACTGAGTAATTAAAATTAAAATATTCATCTGATAATTAAATTTCTAAAAGATGTGCTGTGCAAATCATATACTTAGAGTAGAATGTTATATTTGTATACTATTAAAATTAATTAATTTTTAAAATTATTGTAATATATGAACTGAATTTATACAGGTAATTTCCACAGAACATCTAAAATAATTATCTTATTGCTATGATATCAGTATAGAGTTATTGATATTTTTAGAATAAATTATTTAAGAATTTTTTATAATTTTATTGGTCGATGATAATTTTCTTTGAAATTCTGTAACAAACCTAAAATTAACATTTGTTCACTTAAATCGCTGTGTTATACCAGCTGGTAAATAAAAAATCTAAAGCAATATAATCGACCGAACAAGAGAATATCAAAATATCTTAAATATTTCTACTACAATTAATAGTATACATTTAATTGTACGATTTAGACAAACCGTTAAAATGGCGTTAAGTCCTTCGATGGCAGAAAGCCTGCGTGCCGTGTTTGCCGCTTTTCTGTGGCATGAAGGCATCGTTCACGACGCAATGACCTGCGCATCATTTTTGAAGTTTTATCCAAGTCTTCCCAAGAATGGAGCAGTAGTTACGAAACGGATGACTGAAAGGTATGTGTTAACAGCGCACTCTGTGCAGAATAATGAAGATCACGTATATGCATATTTGAATATCTCCTATGTAATATGTGTTTACGGTTTCAAAAATTAAATTTCCAGATAAATAAATTATAATATTTATAGATAAATCATATTTTACATATRATTTAGATACATTTGATTATGTTATAATGTGTCTATTTTCTTATCTATTTTCCCTTTATATATATTGGTAATTCTTGTACTAATAACTAAGTCCTTTTAGGMATTACTCATACCATGTGAGAACTACTACATTAGTACCTAGTTAAAACATACATATAATAATATTTTATTAGGGATCTAAATTTGACGTAAAAAAATAACATTTTGGCTATTACATGAAATAATCATGTATGGGATTTCCAAAAATTGTTCAACTGGAAATCTGACCCACATATTATTGTATACAGTAGAGTTACGCCTAAATTGTATATTATATCACGAAATTACTTGATTATGTGAAATTTAATCTGACGAGTTACCTGCAGGAATAAGGACCGCGGACCTCAGAGGCATTCGGTGGAAGTGACGACCGGTGCCGGTGGTTACCGGCACATCCGACCCAACGAAGTGAACCGTCCAAAACCTGGAATGGCATTACCGGCTGAGGGAGCAATCACTGAAGAGAGCATGACTAGTTCCGGTAACTCGGAATTTGCAGACAGCCATCATGCGCAACCGGAACCATCTGTGGGTGGCGGTGAATGCCGGACCACTGTCAACTTTTTGCCACCCGCCCTCAACTGCATGGTACGGCTGTGGGACCAGATCGCCTCCGACATGCTCCAGGTAAGACTTCTGATGTATTATAAAAAAATATTAACGACAAAATATAAGGTATTCACATAAACTATAGGTGATTTAAGATAGATGGTAGCTCAAAAATGTGGTATTATAAATCTATGGAATATTTTATTTATTCTATTAACATAAAAAAAGTAAAATATTGTAATGGTAAGGCTGTCTATGAGAATTTAAGGTAAAGGCCTGCTTGAATATGTTTGCCATTGCCTCCCTACTAAAATATTTTACAGAATCTCTGTCTATGTTTATAGTTACCACATATACATTGTACCTACTGAAAATCTATATCGACATATGCACGTTGAACGTTAAATTTTTTTCTTATACATAATAATCAGTTATATAATATAAGGACGACTTTCCAAACATTTTATAACAACTTTAATGTTATCAGTAATTTTTCCAAACCACTAACACAATTTACAAAGAAATGATGATGTTCGTGAAATGTTTTTTTTCACGTTGACATGTGAATTTTCTTTTTAAAAGTACGATGTATGATTCAATGCGATCATTTTGTCCTTAAAATACATTCTATGGCAATAATTATGATCTTGTTCTGAATCAAATTTGATATTTTTTTACTAACTAACAAAGGATAATATTCTACTAGCTGAACTATTGAATTCTGTTTAAAATCTTAACCACGAGAGAATATTTTTAAATTATAACTATATAACTAAAATTGTTTTTATATTTTTTAATCACATAATGAAATACTTATAACTTTATAAGGAACTTTGTTTTAAATGTTTATTCCTAAGCTATAAAAGTTTAACTTTTTAGATATTTTTAACTATCAATAATTAATAAATGTTGTAAAAATTTAATTTGACTCTTCAGTAGACATTTTTATTTAATTTTTGATAAAGGTTTCATTTGTGAAGGATTTTGTACTAAATTTTCAAATCTTAGATTTAAGTTGATTCAAATCGATATAATAGAATATGTACTGTTAAAAGTATCAACCCTTTTTAAATAGATATCGAGCGCAATAGATTAGTGAAAAAATATTAATGTTATGTTATAATTTATTAAAAATAACTAAATTACCTAAAAAAACTTTCGGTTAGTTGAATGGTCTTATGGTTTTATTAGAAAAAATTTAAATTGTCAAAATATTGTTATTTAATTCGTACGTTCAACAATTTAATTTAAAATATTTCATGGATAAATAAACGTTGTTATTAAAATTTATTATTATTGCATAAATATTTCATAGAACGAAAGTCACAATGGTACTTCGTTTTAATGGAATAATAATTTTCTATTTACGATATTCGTAAAAATTACGTTCAACGTACGGTTTAAAATATTAAATACGAATCTGTTATAATTTATTAAAATTAATTTTCTCATTTGTATTTGTTCTGTTTTCCATTTTTGTCTATATTGGTTGGTTTCGCATCAGTATATTGTTATACCAGGGATAATAAAACAAAACAATGAAGATAATTAAAGAAAGACCTACAGTCTTACAGATCATATTGAAAACAATGCGTTTATTTTCAGCTTAACATGTTAAATAATAATAAAACAGTACATGAAACTGTTAGAAATAAATAGTTGTCTATATCTAAATTACAGATGAATAAACTGACGTACGTAATATTATTCCGTTAGATTTATGTGCGTTGTAATATTTTGTAAATATTCTCGAGGACTTTTTCATGTCCTTTGACTGTAAGCTTGGACTCAGACTGAATTTATGAGGTTGAGAGTGTTTTATGAGCCCTGAATATAGTGTCCAGTTTTAATGTTTGTATAATAGACGTTTATTCAAACTGACGTTTTATTTTATGCAAGTTCAAAGCACACATGGTGTTGTTACCTTACAATATTTTATTTGAACACAATTATCTTAGTTTTTTTCCCCATTTTATGCTATAAAATATAATTATAAATTTTTATGMTTCACCTATGTTACTCTATATTTCTATTCAATAATATATGATAAGACTTATTTCGAGACTGTTATTTTTATCAACATTTAATTAAAATCCAAAAATAAGAATATTATATGATTATTAGTTACTTATGGTCAAATATATTATATGTTAGATGGTCGTCACTATAAAATATTGTATATATCCAATACCATCATAATGTATAAGTGTATCAAACGCGGAAAACGAATGGATTTCGATTTCAAGGTTAACATATTATATTAAAATAACATGGAAATATAATATATTATTCTTATTTTCAATACAATAACTTGGTACAAACATTTGGAGATAATAATGAAACGACACTGCTTTGGAATGCATACATATTTGTTGCGTGACAAAAACTATAGTTGTAACCTTATAATTTATTCATTAAAAAATAGTTACACTTAAACAACCATATAACTAATAGTGAAATGAAGAGTTTATGAGGGAGAAGTTTGAAAATTGCACGTTACTTTATTATTTGTCGTCCTCTGTCTTTCCGATTATAGACAGGGAAACACAATAGAGTAGTATAATATAGGTATATACTCTAAATTATTTTTAAAAATTATAAACCTATAGTATTATAAATTATAATCAAATAAAAATAAAACATTTTGTCTTGCAGATAATTACTTCGGTCGCCGTGCTCCGCAAGTCTTCTCCTAAGCAGACGGTGAATGGTGGCACTGAAAATGGTGACAATGACGGCGATAGATTTTCATTGGATCAGTCCTCGGACGCTCTATATGAAAGATCATATTGGCATTTAAGCCCCAACTATCATTCCAAGGAGCCTATGCCGTGTGAGCTGTGTGGCGACATGTTTTCTGTGCCTGTGTCCTTTCATATGCTTACTGCTCACCCGGGATGCGGTCAGAGCTGCGGTGGTCGCGGTTACACCAGCAACGGTATCTACAAGAACGGTTGGTCTGGCCCGTGTGGCGAAGGCGGTATCGCGTGGTTTCAATTTTGCGAATCCTGCCGTAGTGGTTGCATGAAGCGCGCCAAGCCAATACAACCGTCGGCTGCTTCCGGTTCTGACCCGGCTCCTCGGTCCCGGAAAACAGCCGCGGTGGTTCGACAGGCAGTTAACAACTACCCCGCCACTAACAACGGCGATGACCGTCGTGATTTCTCTGACTCTGACGACGAAGGTAACGATGAATACCGTAATGGTTGGAACTCGAAATCGCTGCAGCTTAAACATCTACATGGTTAGTGACCTATTCCGATCATCTACTGTATTAAGTATTATTAAAATCATAACAAAGTTCTACCGAGATGGATTTATTTGTTTCTAGAGATCGAATTCTATAATGATTATTCGGCAATAAGTCCACTTTTAAAAATTAGAAATATTCAGATGCATTATGCACCATTCGTGCGTGTGTAATTTTATTAATTTTACGATAAAGTATAAAATATAATTTTTTTTTTCTCTAGTCATGCGTGATGCGAAAGTAAAACCATTATTTAAGGCACCTACTCGAGTAATAATTATTGTCAACATAGTGGAAGCAATGTTTATGTATATCTATTTCACTTTTAAACGATTATTGGCACGGCGTAATGTGTAGTTAAAATAACTGCATATCAGTCACATGATTACTGATTCGACGAAGCATACCATACGTTATTAATTATATACATATATATTATATATATATATATATATTTTTTTTTTTTTTTTTTTTCACATTCCGCAGTTGTTCGATATGCGAGAAATGAATTTAATTTTTT